GGATAGAGGGAGAGAAGGAGAATGAGAAGAAGAGAGTGAGAGAGAGAGCTTTAGCACCTGAAAAAAACAGGAAAAATAACTGAAATAACAAGAAAAGATCAGTTTTAGTTTAGAAAAGAGAAAAGAATGCATTTTCTGGTCAATAAAGCAAAAATAAGGAGAAGAAAGAAGGAAAGGGAGACGAAGAAGTAGAAGTTGCTGAAGAAGACGAAAGAAGAGGACATTCATAAATGTATGATTGTCCTTAGCATTTTCTATGTTTACTCTTAAAATCTTTCGTATTTTTCCATTTTTTGCTTTGTTTTCTTTCCGAAACCCATTGAGACATCTATCTCCATTTGTCTTTATACTAACCGTTTTCATACTTTCTCCAACTTCATATTCAATCATTTTCACATTTATTACATTAGATTCTACTTCCCCTCAATACTCATTTTCTCTTTTTTGGTCTCAAATTTCATAGGAAAAGGATGACGAGGAGAGTAGAAACGTTAGATATACTATATAATAAGCAAAATAGCTTTTATTCAACAAATCTACAGAGAGGGAAAGAGAAGGGAAGAGAAAGATGTAGGGGGGGTATTGCTAAAGGTAGACACATAGATTGAAAGAGAGAGGGAGAAAGACGGGATTGAGGAAGAAGTAAAATAGTCTTAGTTGCTTCACAAAGATTGAGTGAGCATGTCGGCTGCCGGCTGGTTTGTTGGTATGATCTGAGAGAAACGGGGGGTAAATGCAGGAAACAGCATCAGACCATATGGAAAAGCATGTGAGATGAAAATAGCTTAATTTGAGGAAACCTTTTAAGGTCAAAATTAATGAAGAGATGGTCATGAAGAGGGTTCACAACGGATTAGCAAGGGGGAAAAGCCGGGAAGCAAAAAAAAAAAGAATCGTTATATGCATAAACACAGTCATTAACCAGAATTATTATTTCAGTATAGTAACCTTCTGCGTTTCTATGCTGCTTGTTGTGACATGGCGGATAGTTACTCATCTGTTTTGTCAAAGAAGCCGCGATGAACCACCAGCAGTTGAGGTTCCGCCGGAAGCTGTTCCGTTACAGGTTACTATAGAGATGCGTTCTTTCAAAATTCCAATATATTTGAAGGTTAATGGTAAACATGGAGTGGTTAAGAATGAATTTGAAGGATTAGCTTTGAAACAAGAAGAAAAACACTTAGGATGGATGACAGAAGTTCGTTTCATACTTTTTTTCTGATATTATTGCTTCGTGCTCCTTATCCCTTCCATCTCTACGTGGAAATATACGTGGAGTATCTACGTCACATAATATTCACGCACACCTGCTCATCGAAGTTTCATTTTACTTGAGAACAAAGCATATGAGCGGTTGTGCATTCAGTTACATCAATCGTTAGACAAATTAATAATTAACAAAAATTATAGGCAAAAGATTGGGCTGGAGAATTAATATCTGGGCAAAGCTTGACCGGAAGATTTTTAGTTGTTCTCGTATTCGTTCTATCAGTCGGATCTCTTGGAATCTATTTCTATGATGCAAGCTTGTAAGTTCATACATTCATCTTCATTTTTCTTTTGTTCCTATTCATCTTTTATGTTTTCTTGCTATTTTTAACAGCAATTAGTTTCATAAGAATCAATGAATTTCCATTTGCAATTTGAGAGCATTTTTCAAAAAATTTTGTTAAAAATTCGTTGAGAAAAAAGCTTTTTAGCTAAGCAATTACTTTAAATGGTTTCTCAAAGAACATTGAACAACTGCTCATTTTTACATTTTTATCATTTGACACTATGGGTAGTAAAGCTTCAAAAGTTTTTGAGAAAATGAAATAGCCTGAAGTCATGATGAAATGACGTGATGCTTAAAAAACAACCTAATTAATATGTAATAATTATGTTTTAAATCATTTCATCACGAATTTGCTCGTAAAAGTGAGGGAGAGAACATAACAGAGGGAGTAAAGCAATAGATAGAGAGAGAGAGAGAAAGTAGTGAAGAGAGCGTGAGAGCAGGAACTTAAGCCTTTGCTTTCTTCGTTTGGACGAGTAATTACTTTTTACACAAATTACTCCTTCAACTTACTTCAATTAGTCATCATGAATTAGATGTAATCACTTTATGCTAATTAATCAATCAATAATTTCACGTAAACTATAACGCAATATCCATATATGCATATATCCAATGAATTATGATTTTGAAAAATAATTTTATTTTTCAGTCAAAACTTTCAAGTTGAAACATGTATTCCATGGCAAGAAAGTCCTTCTCAACAAATCGACTTGGGTTTCAATATATTCTTTCTCGTTTACTTCTTCATTAGAGTAAGTTATCTATGCTGATTATATGTAATAAAATTATTTTTTTCTTTCAGTTTATCGCAGCTTCGGACAAAGTTTGGTTCTTATTAGAGCTTTATAGTTTTATTGATTATTGTACTATTCCTCCATCATTCGTGGCTATTTATTTACAAAGAAATTGGCTAGGTATAATTACATAGTTAACGATATGCTAATTGGTTGTTGTTTTAGGTTTTCGATTTCTTCGAGCTCTTCGTCTCATGACAGTTCCTGATATTTTACAATATTTAAATATTCTCAAGACATCATCGTCTATTCGTTTAACACAATTGGTTACGATTTTCGTTTCTGTATGTCTAACAGGAGCTGGCGGGGTTCACCTGGTATATCCTATCCTAATCATCTTTACTATTACTAAATATTCATTCAGTTCGAGAACTCTGGCGATTTCTTCAAAGGATTCATCAATCCACATAGAATTACATATGCTGATTGTGTTTATTTCGTTCTAGTTACTATGTCCACAGTCGGTATGTTATAGCTATGGGCATGCTTGAAAACTCTCATTATGCTTAAAGGTTATGGTGACATCTATTGTACGACACTATGTGGACGAATTTTCATGGTCTTCTTCATTCTCGGTGGTTTGGTGAGTAGAAAAGCATTCAAGCCAATTCAGTCTTTCCTCTTCTCTAGGCTATGTTCGCCAGTTACGTACCGGAGATAGCAGATCTGATTGGCAATCGTCAAAAGTATGGTGGAGAATATAAGGGAGAACACGGAAAAAAGTAAAATTTGATTTGAAATTGCAAATTTGATGAAAATCATTGTTTTCAGACACATTGTTGTATGTGGACATATCACATATGATTCTGTTAGTCATTTCCTTCAAGATTTTTTGCACGAAGATCGCGATGATGTGGATGTTGAAGTTGTCTTTCTGCATAGGTTTGTCTTTGCCAACGATAAATGTGGTTGTGAGGAGATTGTTGTTGTTGCATGTAAACAACGCACAAAAATAGGAATAAGAAAAAGAAAAAAGATAAATTGATATGATTGTTTACATGTGCAACTGTCCCTCGGGGGGTGAAAAAGACAATATTTGACACTTTCTTAAGCTTTTCCATTCTTTTTTTACCCAATCTTTGACAAAGAGAGAAAGGGGACAAAGAGCGAGAGAGAGAGAGAGAGAATGAGCATAGATGATGAGCTTATTGATAATGAAATTTCAATTTTCAGAGTAGTTCCAGACCTTGAATTAGAGGGTTTATTTAAACGTCATTTTACGAAAGTTGAGTTCTTCACGGGTACTGTCATGGACTCACTGGATCTTTCTCGTGTGAAGGTTGGCGGTGTTTTGCTTTTCATTTGTTTTTTTTTCTGTCAAACAAACACATTAAATTGTCTATCAAAACTTGAAAGCAAAAGCTTTATAGTTGAAGCTTAATGCATCACCTGTTATTTACTGAAAGTATGTAAGTCTGGTGAAATCTGTTTAGGAAACGTAATGTTTTGATAAAACTTTAAAATCCAATTGGAACCATCTGTATTGGATAAAGAAACATATGTTCATCTCATTTTTCATAAAAATGTGGATATAGTTAGCATATTTACACATAAATAAAATAAAATAAATAAGAGATATCAAATGATCAAATGAAGTGGACGGGGAGAGTGAAGAAAGGGGGGGGGGAGAAGATAGCCTCATCTCATATGATCATCATTACAGGTAACTGATGCTGATGCTTGTCTTGTTCTGGCTAACAAGTATAGCACTAATCCGGATGCAGAAGATGCAGCAAACATCATGAGAGTCATTTCAATCAAAAACTATTCAAGTGATATCAGAGTTATCGTACAACTAATGCAATATCATAATAAGGCAATCATCATCAATCATCATCAGATTATTAATTATGATCATTTAAGGCTTATTTACTTAATATTCCTTCATGGGATTGGCGTCGTGGTGACGATGTGATTTGTTTAGCAGAACTCAAATTAGGATTTATTGCTCAATCTTGCCTTGCTCCAGGATTTTCAACTATGATGGCCAATTTATTTGCTATGAGAAGCTTTAAGACGGTAAGTGTAGATGGTTAACCTTAACATGCTAACATGATGTGGTGGAGAATAACCATGTTGTTCAAATCTCATTTTTTCTAATAACGAGCAGAATTTTTCCATCTTCTACTCACTCATCATTTCTTCTGGCCATAAACCAACTAAGAATTATAATACTTCAACTGCTTTACTAACCTTTCTGTCTGTCTTTCAGTCTCCTCATACCCCTGCTTGGTTGAATGATTACTTGCGAGGAGCAGGAATGGAAATGTATACGGAAAAATTATCTCAAGCTTTTGTAAATATGACGTTTCCAGAAGCTGCTGAGTAAGTTTAATAATTTCTCTAACATTTGTTTAATTAACTGGTGCTTTCTGTCCTTCTTCCATCCATTTTCTTACATTTCATCTTTGGCACATTCTGTCTGGATTCTCTCAATGATTATCATCTGATAGCATTCCTCTATACAGCATCTGTCTTCTCTAAACCTCTCTCTAACCATATGTGTGTTACATCTTTTTTGAAAGTGATACGTCAGAGTGCAGTTTCTAATCATTTTTTGTCTAAAACTTTAACACATGGGTGTTAATGCAACACTTTTTTGACAAAATTCATATAAAACTTCTAGTCCCGGGACACTCCCGACTGGTTGAACCTTTATTTATGTGGAGCGGGAATGGAAATGTATACAGATACCTTATCGCATTCTTTTGTTGGAATGAGTTTTCCAGAAGCAGTCGAGTAAGGCATACAATTGAAAGAATGCAAAGAAAGAATTATTTTTTTTATTTTCTTTATTTCAATTCACCGCAAAGAAAAGAAAAATGCTGTTATGCTGTAATGAAAATAAAAAAACCTTTTGCAGCCTACTTTTCACTCGTCTGGGGTTGTTGTTGTTAGCAATAGAGTTGAAAGATGAGGAAAATAAGGTACTGAAACGACGTTTGATTGAAGGAAACGGTTAAATATTTGAAGGAATGTAATATTGCTATTAATCCGGGACCGCACATCACCATTCAGCCTCAAACTCAGGGATTCTTTATAGCTCAGAGTGCAGATGAAGTCAAAAGGTTTCCATTCTTCATCATCATTCTCATCATCATCATTTACCTCATTGCAGAGCTTTCTTCTGGTGTAAGCAATGTCATGAAGATATTCGGGATGTTACTTTGATCAAGAAATGCAAATGTAAAAACCGTGAGTTCAATGCAGCATGGAAATCGGTAATTACTTGTTTTCAGTTGCCCTGTTCCGTCGAAACACCAAGCACTCCAACGCCAGAGGTAAGTATTTGGAATTCGGCTTTTCTACCATTTACTCTCTCTCTCTTTCACTCACTCACTCACTCATTTTGTATTTTTTCGTCATCTCGATCTCACTCTCTCTTTCGTTCTACCATAATACCTCGGGGAAGGTTTTCTCGGAATACCTTTTTTGTATCTTTGTATCTCTCTCTCTCTCTGACTATCTTTTCATCCGAAAAACCAAATAACTTGCAGACTATTCGGAATTTGATGCGCTTTTTAGCCAAAATGACGGTAACTTTACTGTTCTATCCCACCGAAGCTTTGTCTATCCACCCGTATATAGAACGTTTTTATTTTCTTTCTGTTTCGTTAGAAGTAATTCCAGTAGAAACGACAAACCCCCTTCGCATGGCTTCATGTCCATATTCGTCTGTCAAATAAGAGTTTTTTAATTTTATTTTGAAAAACGATCACGCATAGATTTAGACAGATCACTTTATTATTTGGCATGTGTCGTTAGAGAAAATGATTACTTTTCAGTTTATTTTTTGCTTTTCATTTCGAGAATAAGATTTGTCTGAAGAATATTCCTTGTTTGGCTAGTCCCAATTAAGCTTTTCTTTTCATCTGATTGTCGCTGGTATAGAGTAACACAAAAAATCTCAGAGAAAAGTTCTTCCTTACGTGTTTCTGGAGACAATCATAGATATCTCTGATATATCTACTTAACTCATTCATTTCAGCTCGTAACAACGTTGAAGCAGCACCTCCACAGATACCTCAACATGGACCACAAGCTCAGCTGCGTATGCTCAGCGAACAAAGGTAACGGGATAGAGGGATTAATCAATTTTGTAAAAAAAAAAATTAAAAAGAGTGCAAATAAAAAAGACTAACAGCTTCAAATAATCCAATTTGCATCCAAATAATTTCTTTGTCTATCTAGTACTACTTTCTCATCCAAAATCCAATTGTTAAAACGGTGAAAGGCTTAAAAATATTTTACAGTAATTTCAGTTCGACCAGTGATAATCATCTGGCGTCGAAATCTATGCGATTCGCCTATGAGATCAAGAAACTAATGTGAATAATTTAATATTTGAATCCACACATACACACACACACACACTCACACACAGATTTACTCACTCACACTCACTCATTTACTCACTCTTCTTTCCCTTCCCTCCCTGTTTTTTTTTGGTTATCTTTTTAAACATTTAGAAAGATAAACTAAGCTTGTGCTTGTTTTCATTCATGATATGAGTTCTAGTCGGACATCCATCCATTAGTAAATGCCTTTCATGGAATTAGAAATACTAGATATGATTGGAAAATATTTGAAAAGACTTTTAAAAATTCTTCATAATATTTTCCACATCAGCAGTTTCTAGAGATATGAAGCTTTTGCTATCCATATATATCTTCATATATGGAAATGTTTTTAGTTATTTGTTTGATTGCGTGATTTTAGCATGAGATTAGAGGCATGGTTTTCACCCAGCACTTATTCCTCCACAAAAAAGGATTTTATTAATCAAACAAAATAGTATTTTCATAATATTTTTTTGATTGATTAGATAAAACACTTTTGCCATCAACATAGACTGATTAAGCTTCATTTGGAATATTTAGGCCATCTTCTGGACCAGGACGACGAAATTCAATGAGCATACCACCAGATGGTCGTGGTGTTGATTTCACTAAAGATTTCGAACAACAAGATATGAAGTATGACAGTACTGGAATGTTTCATTGGTGTCCTAGTAGAAATCTGGATGAATCTGTTTTGGTATGTAACGAACAGAATGTACTTAGTATTTGTGTGAATTTGAAGGAAAGACATCAAGCTGCAATGACAGTTCTGAACGGTCACGTAGTCGTTTGCTTGTTTGCTGACCGTGATTCTCCTCTTATTGGATTAAGAAACTTCATTATGCCTTTGAGGTACTAAATATCATCAACTACGGAGTAAAGCCATTCTATTAAGAGCTTCGAATTTCCACTATCATGAGCTGAAGCATGTGGTCATTGTGGGTGATTTGGAATATCTAAGGAAGGAATGGAAAACCCTTTACAATCTACCGAAAATATCCATCCTGAATGTAATATTTTCTTTTATTTTTAAAAAAAACTAAAAAAATCATTTTCAGGGCTCCCCCTTATCTCGTGCAGATCTTCGAGCAGTTAATATAAACCTTTGTGATATGTGCGTGATAATATCGGCTCGGGTACCAAATACGGAAGACACCACGTTAGCGGATAAGGAAGCTATTCTTGCTTCTCTTAACATCAAAGCCATGCAGGTTTTTGAGACAATTTTCATTTCATTTAATTGAAATTTTGTGTCTAGTTCGATGATACTCTCGGATTCTATCCCATGCGGCCTGTAGATGCTAACGGAAGCCCCTTAAATAGCCCATCAGCCATAGCGATGCATAGGAAGGGTGCTCGATTTGGTACCAATGTGCCCATGATCACGGAATTAGGTACTAAGCTCATGTTATCTTCCGTTTAGCATATTATCGTTCCAGTCAATGATTCTAATGTACAGTTCTTGGATCAAGATGATGACGATGATCCGGACACAGAGCTATATCTGACGCAACCATTTGCTTGCGGAACAGCTTTTGCTATATCTGTTCTTGATTCCCTCATGAGTACGGTAGGATAGAGAAGCAATTATAGAAACGAAATAATTGTTTTTGCTTTCTATTTAGACATATTTCAATGATTCGGCTTTAACACTTATAAGAACGCTTGTGACAGGAGGAGCAACCCCAGAACTTGAGCTTATACTAGCAGAAGGAGCTGGTTTGCGTGGAGGATATAGTACACCGGAAACTATGGCTAATCGAGATAGATGCAGAATAGCTCAGATAGCTCTAACAGATAATCCATACGACGGAATCGGGGTAAGCATTACACACATCTCCTCTTATAATTGATAACAACTTCATTTGCATAATACTTCCGTTAAATTAGTTTTAGCCTTGATAACAGACTCTTTTTGAACATCATTAACAATAGAACTAGACGGTTGTACGTCATGTAATCACTTTGTTTTTCAGCATAACTCAACTTATGGTCAGATGTTTTCAACAGCTCTCAAAAAATATGGTCAATTATGTATTGGATTATACAGGTAATTAGTAGCAAAGAGAATATGGGTATCATGGGAATTTGAATAGATTGCACGACCAAGATAACCCCGATTCGATGAAGAGATATGTGATTACGAACCCACCAGCTGAGCTTAGGATACGAAGTTCCGATTATGTAAATTCTTAATAAGAAAGTTAGATAATAATGAGAAAATTGTCTTTTAGGTGTACGTGTTAGAGCAGTTTGATCCAGGTCTGGAATACGAGCCAGGCAAACGAAACAACTATTACTGAAGAACTTAAATATGTACAAAAAAGACAAATAATTTATTTGAGAAACAAACAAAGTTTTATCTCCTAACAGGGCTACATCATATAATTAGTTAATTTATATTGTTTCGTTTGATTCATTTATATTATTTTTTTTTAATATTTTTGTTAAATTTCTATTTCTTTCCAACAAATTTCTATTTGACTCATTCTTCTTAGGTTAAAAGTGTCAATGTCGGTTTTATGTCATGATTAAGGGTACTTCTGAATACTTATAAACCAAATTTCTTATACTTACTATCGGGAACAAACTTTCTTCTTTTTTTTTATTAACTTTAAAAGACTAACGGTTATCCCTTATCCTTAATACGTTTCTCAGTTACCCTCTTTCTCTTTATCGTCATCATACTTCCTATTGTTATTATATCTTTCTCTATCTTTCTTCCTTTTCAATATTGAAATTGCCTTTACTTAATGAAATGCTCATCCATTGAATTTTGAAATAAATATTATGAAATGATATCATGTACAACCGTTCACTGTAAACAAATCTTGCAAATGTGATTTTGAAAGGTGCTCACGTGAGTTCACGCATATACGTCTAATTGCAATTATTCTAATTTTATTTTTTATTATCAAATTAGTTTCCCTCTTGACGTTAATATTAGATTTGGATTGGATAGATTTAGCAAATCCTTTTATAAGTCTTTTTCAACATCTTGAACAATGATTTAAATAATATTAAAATTATTCAATGATCACACGCTTATGTTCAGAAAATTTGAACCGGTTTTTTCTACGAGAATGGCCATTTCTTCATCTTATCTGGTCACGCTAATAGTATGAGTCTAACCCCAACTGAAACCAAGAAAGGTTTTTTTTGGAAATTGTTCCGTCAAAAATTGACTATAAAAGGAATGATAGGCGATCGTTTAACAGTGAACTTGCTTCTAGCAGCTCAATCAGTAAGTTACCATTTCTTCAACTGTTTCCATTTTTTTCATTTTAGTGTCTGCTTGGTTCTCCGTCGCCACTGGCGCCGCTCTTATCAGCACTGTTGCTGTCCTCATTGCCATGGGATCTTTGGTATCCGACATCAACACACTCTACAGTGAGGTTATGCACGAAATGGATGACTTCAAGACCATCTCTGATGATACTTGGGGAATGATCCTCCGCAAATCTCCAGTCGGAACTACTCAAGCCCGCATTCTCTTTGGAAGAAACAAGAGATCTTACGAACAATGCAACTGCGGACAGCAATCCCGCGGATGCCCAGCTGGACGCCCAGGACCTCCAGGACAACCAGGAGAGAACGGACACCCAGGAGAGGATGGAGCCCGTGGACAACCAGGACACTCTGGAGCTTCCCTCATCTTCAGCAAGGACGGAGGAATGGGATGCATTAAGTGCCCAGCTGGACCACCAGGACCCTCAGGAGAACAAGGACCAGCCGGACCTGCTGGACGTCCAGGACAACCCGGAAGACAAGGACCAGCTGGAAACCCAGGACGCGATGGAGCTCCAGGAAATGCTGGAGAACCAGGACGCGATGGATTCCCAGGACGTGATGGAGCCCCAGGAGAGCCAGGACGTGACGGAGTCTCGTAAGTTTAAGGTTATCCAACATATCATACTGTGTTGTTTAGCCACACCCCAGGAGCCCCAGGACGTGATGGAGCCCCAGGACGTGACGGAGCCCCAGGAGCCCCAGGACAAAGCGGACAAGATGGCAAGCCAGGATTCGCTGGAAGACCAGGATCTGCTGGACGCCCAGGAAACGATGGACTCCCAGGAGGTGATGGACAACCAGGTGCCCCAGGAAGTGACGGAGCTCCAGGATCTGATGCTGGGTAAGTTAACATTTGAAGTTTAATATTTTAAATGGCGTCACCTAAAATGTATGCTGAAAGAGAAGCTGACACGGCATTCGAAACCTGACCTGTTCTAAGCGATGCAAAAACGATTAGGTCACGGCTTTGTTTGCAACGTTACCCTAAACTTATCTGGCAATCTATTTCGAAGCGTTTTCATTTTCATTTGAGATAGAAAGTAAAGTAAACGAAAGTAGCTTTATGAACGAAACGTCATCGGATTGATAACGACTCTAAATGATAATATTTCCAGATACTGTCCATGCCCAGCCCGCAACAGCAACTACCGCTTCGGAAACAACAACAATGATCAATTTGTCAACAACAACAACAACGACAACTACGGAGATAACTACTGGAGAAAGCACTAAACAGTTTCCAATCCAGAGAAACTCATTCAATAAAGATTTCTTGAATCAATTTGTCTAATATTCGATAACTAAAGAAATACATCTCACTTTCAATTAAACGGAACTTCTCCGCTCAAAATCTACGTCATCTTTCATTTGAACTGGATTCTAGAATACTATAGAATCTAAGGAACTCAAGTTTCCAGATCCGAAGGGTTGATATTTCTGTAAAAATCGTCGTCAACGTTTTTTTTAACTCAAAAAATCATTCACAATTCATTTTCAACGTTTTTTTCTAACTTCTTCTTTATTAAAATGAAATCAGGACATATTCACATATTTTTACAAGTGGGGTTAACACGTTCAATGTGTTAAAATGCATAAACGCTGTTTACAGTGCACGCTGTTTACAAAAGTTGGCCGTTCGCCAGCCAAAATTTGGCCAACGTGTTCCTTTTCTCATATAAGCAAAAATTCTTCTAAAACTTTTCCTTAATATTCATTCCAACTTTTTTCGATTTCAAATGTTATTTTAAGGCCAAATGGCTACCTGGGAAGATTATCTTGCTGGTCAGCTCAATAATGATGGTGTACAGTTCACCTGGAATATGTGGCCTCATAGCAGAGTGGATTCACAACGACTTGTTGTGCCACTAACATGTTTCTTCACTCCATTAAAGGTATAATTTTTTTCTCGATTGTTGCTTTCATGATTCTGAGTAGGAGAAACCAGCAGATCAGCCTCAACAGCCTCCCTTGGAGTATGATCCTGTACTATGCCAGAAAGCTAACTGCAAAGCAATTTTAAATCCTTTATGGTATGTCATGAGTGTTTCCATTGATCTCATAATAATTTCTATTTCAGTTTCGTTGATTTTCGAGCTAAAACTTGGGTTTGTGCGATTTGTAATCAAAGAAATCCATTCCCTGCTCATTATGCAGCTATTGCTGAGGATAACAGGCCACCAGAGCTTTATCCTCAATTTACAACTATCGAGTACACTTTGAAGGTAAAACTATGAAGGTTAGAGTAACATAAGACTCGCTCGTTTCAGAAGGCAACAACTATGCCTCCAATATTTGTTTTTGTTGTAGATTTATGTGTTACTCACGAGGAATTAGATGCTTTGAAGGAAAGCTTACAGGTGCACTTATAATCGACTTCAAATGAAAGTTTTTGTGTTAAGTCTGCTCTTTCACTTCTTCCTGCTGATGCTATGGTAGGTTTGATTTCATATGGAAGAATGGTCCAACTCCACGAACTCAATGTTCAAGGAATCAGCCGGAGCTTCGTCTTCAAGGTTTGTTCATGCAGCACATAAGCAACTATCAAGAGTTTATTAGAGAAAATAGAATAGACATCATGAAACATCTTATTTCCCCATCACAATATTCCCTCCGATTCTTGATCTTCGTTTCTGTAAAGCAGTTTGCTGAAACAACAAATTCACAAAAGGTTCCTGAATGATATAATCACCTGAGCAGTTTGCCCTATCTCCACAGCCAACTTTTCTTTGAGCTCTTCTTGAAAATCTCGATGCAATCGAACAAGAGAATTTACCAAATTTTCAAGTTCAATTAGCCTTTCTAGCGACGTCGAATAAATTGATTTATCAGCGGACGATAATCCGCAAATTAAAAGTACCAGGAATGCCGTTGAATAAATCAGCTTATGGCACATCTTGAATCCCAATAGAGTTTGACTTCTGCAACTTGATAATATGATTTCGATAGTAAGAGAGAAAACGACGAGTGACATCAGAAATACAAGTTATTGTTAATGACGTTTCATAGAATGTTTGGTTTCAGGGCTCAAAAGAAGTAGCTCAGAAGCAGCTTAAAGATATCTTAGCCATGAACATTGGAGCTAGGGGACCCACTCCAGGAGGACCTGGTGGTGCACCTATGGGAGGTATGTGATTATGGGCTTGCATATCTAGTTAAAGTTCTTAGGTGCTCCTGGGGCTTTCCCAGGACAGCCACACATGGGTGCTCCAGGAGCCCGTCCAGGCCAGTTCCCTGGACCCGGAGGACCAGCGGGCCCTGCTGCCCCACAGCCTTCTCCAGGAGCCATGCATGCACCAACTAACAAATTCCTCCAGGTATGTTGGCATTTAATAAAATATGAAACAGAACAGAACAAAATGAGGTTTGAAATGAAAAAAATATTCGGAGACATTCAATGAAGGAAGTACGAATCATGGGAGGAGAGCTATTGCTTTTGAAAGCCGCATTTGTCATTCCTGAGCTGCTTACATCGTAATTCGCCCCTCCCCCATGTTTTATCTTATTCTCGAATAACTCTTTTAACCAAATAAAGACCTCTATTGTTGAAAGTCATGTTTCATATCGTATTTTAGCCAATTAGCGAATGTGAAGACTCAATTAACGAAATTTTGGAATCACTCACTGTGGATAGATGGCCTGTTCCTCAAGGACATCGGCCAATGAGAGCTACTGGAGCTGCTTTAGCTGTAGCTGTAGGCCTTCTAGAGGTGAAAAATATATAATTTGAAAGTATACAATGTATGATTTCAAGGCATGTTTCCCCAACACTGGAGCTAGAGTTATGACTTTCGTTGGAGGAGCTTGTACACATGGCCCAGGAGCTGTCGTAGGAGACGAGTTGAAGAATCCTATTAGATCTTGGCATTCTATTAAAGAGGATGATGCCAACTTCATGAAGAAGGTATGACGTTTTTATTTGTTCTAACATATCTTTTTTCCCAGGCCACTAAGTTCTATGATTCTTTGGCTTCAAGAGCTGTGAAAAATGGCCACGCCATCGATGTGTATTCCTGTGCTTTAGATCAAACTGGACTTTTAGAAATGAAGAATTGTTTCAATTCAACTGGAGGTACAATGAGCAGTATATGTCAAAAACATCTATTATCTTCTAGGACATGTTGTTATGGGTGATTCGTTCAACTCCTCTCTATTCAAGCAGACCTATCAACGTTCTTTCGAGAAGAGTGCCAATGGTCAATTGAAAATGGGATTCAATGCCACCATGGAGGTAGTCATTCACCTCAAGAAGTACAAACTATTTTTCAATTCAGGTCAAGACTGGTGCTGGACTCAAAGTTGAAGGTGTTCTAGGGTGTTGCGCTTCTGGTATGATATGAATACGCACTTCAAAAAGTTTGTATGTTTTTCAGGAAATGTCAAAAACGCTTGTGTCTCTGATACGGAAATGGGTATTGGAGGAACTTGTCAGTGGAAATTCTGTAGTTTAACTCCACGAACAACAATCGCCGTTCTGTTCGAAATCAGCGCCCAAGTAAAAATTAACAAAGGAATTGATTCTCAAGTGTTTTTAGCATGGAGCAGCAATTCCTCAAGGATCCCGAGGTGTAGTACAGTTTGTTACTCAGTATCAACATGCTGACGGACGGAAACGAATTCGAGTGACGACGACTTGCCGTAATTGGGCAGATATGACAAGTCAACAAGCTAATATTGCTTACGGATTTGATCAAGTATATCCATCAAAGATTTTGCGTACTCTAATTCAATTTCCAGGAAGCTGGTGCTGTTGCCATAGCAAGACTTGCATCGTGGAGAGCAACAAATGAGAACGATACTCCTGAAGCTTTGAGATGGCTCGATCGTACATTGATTCGCCTCTGTCAGAAGTTCGGAGAGTATGCCAAGGATGATCCAGGGTCATTCCGTCTCTCTGAAAAGTTCTCACTGTTCCCACAGTTTATGTTCCATTTGAGAAGATCACAGTTCTTACAAGTCTTCAACAATTCTCCCGATGAGACAGCATATTATAGGTTTGGATCATATCTAAGTTTCTTCTTCATTATTTCATTACTAGACACATCCTGTTTTCGGAGAATGTTTTGGAAAGCACAACTATGATTCAGCCAGTATTGTTTAGCTACTCCTTCAAGTATAGTTTGGATTAATATTATAATATTTTTGCGTTCATTTTCAGTGGACCTCCTGAGCCTGTTCTTCTGGATACTTCTTCAATTCTTCCTGATCGAATTCTGTTGATGGATGATTATTTCCACGTACTTATCTACCATGGACAGGTAATGAGAACTCCTCTTGTTGAATAAATTTTTCTTTTCTAGACGATCGCCGCTTGGAAGAAGATGAACTATCATGAAGATCCTAATTATTTAACTTTCAAGCAACTTCTAGAAGCACCAATTGCTGACGCTAATGCTATTCTCCAAGATAGGTTCCCAATGCCTAGATATATCGTCACTGAATATGAAGGATCACAGGTAGTTGTAGAGCTTTGATTCTTGCTTCAATCACATTTCTTATAGGCTCGTTTCTTGCTCTCTAAGGTAAATCCTTCGCTCACTCACAACAACCCCTATGCTCAGGTGAGTTCAGAAATAGAATGATCTTTGAGCTTTAAACCTTTTTAGGAGGGAGGAGCACCAGTTTTCACCGATGACGTGTCTCTGCAAGTTTTCATGGAGCATTTGAAGAAGCTGGCCTCATCTTCATCCACATAAGGATAATGAGAGCCTTACATCCATTCAGAGTGTATGTACTATTTATTAAAATTCTATGTGTTTTTATAATTACTTCCATTTTTTCCTCTAAATTATCACTCACTACCACTTCAACAATTTATTTATTTTAAGAGTCCAATATAACAGAAAACTAGTCCATAAACGCCAACAAAAATTCGAAATCAACCTAAAGCTAAAATCCCAAAATCTAAAAGTCAATACATATCCTTGGATGAATCTGCACTCCTTCCTGACAATCCGAGCTACTTCCTCAATAGTGTCTGACTTCGCTGGTGGGAGTATGAGACCATTGCTTATATCCAAGTCTCCGCAAGTTATACTAGCGAGTTGGTTTCAATCCCCAGTACCTTTTCAACCTCAATTGAATGGAGGTACCACAAACAAACAGTGGATCAGTACTATTCAACATAGGACTCTGATATAAGATTAAATTATTGAAGTGGATGAGTTTTAGTTTTAGGCATATGATTGTGATAATTCAGCTGACTATTGTTCTGGGCGGTACATTTTTGCCTTTTTTGTTTAATTTTCCTGTTGGTTCCACCAAATTTCTAATTTATTAAGCCAATGTGATTAAAGAACTTTCATTTATTATGCTATGGTATTACCTGTTAGTAACCATTGAGGTTACTTCAAACTTAAAACATTTCTTAATATAATGGCAATGATAATGGTTATGACAACGAAGGCTTAGAAGCCAGGAATCACACAATATGCTTCAAGAATGCTGAATAGAAGGTAGCCCAGCCAAATTAGCACGAAAGCTCCAGCTGAGAGAACTTTAGCCTTCGTTGGTCCTCCAAGCTCAGAATGGATATTTTTATTGAATCTGAATAGTAAAATGTTTCTATCAAAATTGCGTTAGAAGTTTACCTTCGGAATTGAAGTATAGTTATTGCTATGATTGAACCAAGGATGAAAAGAGTAACGGAAAAAGCCAACGAGCCAGCATTGACTCTGCAAAATAATTACTTTAACCCAGCATTTTTTGAGCTTAGACAGGAAAACATCCGTTTCAAACATCACGCCTACCACTGACGTCAAACTAAGTAGAAAAAATGTACTTGTGAAACGTATAGGGAAATTCTTAGATTATCTATTCTTTCCAAATAAGTTGAGAAAGGGGCTATATCAGTATACCCCACAGTTTTAATCATGGCATATTATAACTTTGAGAAGATAAGAGTATGTTCTCTGATCCTTGCAACTTACACGAATCTTGTTCCTCTCCATGCATGGACTATAGCTGCGATAGCCCAAGCTATTCCAATACCCAAAAACACATTCACAGCGTTTGATCCAGTTACATTACCGATGGAGCTATCAGCCCACTTGTCCTGTACGGCAGCTGTTTTTGAAGCAAACGTATCTGCAAGAGTTAAAATTAGCCTCTGAATTGTAGGTATGCTGCAGATGGTTTACCTGGAATACTGGTTCCCATTGCTACTAATGATATAGCCGTTACTGTATCTTTCATTCCAACTGTACAACCAAAGTGGCTAGCTAAATCTCCGATCACTGCTGTAAGCAAGCCGATCATGAAAATGGCTACACAGAAACAGAACCATCCTAAAAAAACATAATTTTTAAAGATTAAGTCTGAGCCACAAACCATTGTAATAATCAGTGGGTGGGATGAAAGCGAAAAACAATTTCCATGGAAGTGAGATGTAGTGCATCATTTTGCCTTGTAAAGTGACTTGTCCATCCTCATCATCCTCATCTTAAAAGACTATCATGAGATTTTGGTTTTCGATGGTTTGTTTGCCTGCTTCATAAGTTAAAGCTTCCTGGAACTGTTGTTTCCAACTACTAGTACCAACCATAATTGAAGTATTAGCATTTGTTAGCATTCTATCTACGAAGTTCTAGAGACAATGAAGTTCCATGAAGTTAATGAAACCAATACTACCTTGAATTCTTTATCTTCAGTAATTACAACTTTGCATCTCGACATAGCTAGTAGAGGTCTTCCTTCGTCATCGGCCTGCAATCAAATTATCTCATTATAATCACTAATAGAACTGTGCTATACATTTGGCGGTCTGTGCCATATTGGTTCTCCCAGTTCAATGAAGAATTCTTCTGCTTTTTCGTATTCATCGTCATTCACAATCGGAATTTCAATAGTGCCTCTGAAAAATGAGGAAGTGAGAATGTTATTCTAGAGAAACAGCTGATAAGCGCAACCAGTCTCTATTACGTCAAACGAATAAATATTCTAATTTATTCAAGTAGAATACACGTGGCAGCTCGTATTCTAACAGCAAAATTGCTAAGTTTCAAAATTCCTGTTCGAAACACTCATATTGAATTAGTTTATATTCGTGTTTGTGTTGGCATCCGTAATCAAAGCTTTCTGTGTGATAAACAAGAGCTCACTTGGTTTGTTCATCTGTAAACACCAGATTTCCCTCGCAATGTTCATAATCTTCTCCTGGTTTAGCTGTTCCAGCAACTGTTTTATATGGGATAGAAACTTCTCCACGAGCACCACGACTTCTTAAGACCTTAAGAATCAGTAGGTGCATGTCTTCAATGTTTGTCTTACTTCAGCAATGAACAAGCCAGCACTCTCTACTACTTTGAACTTTTCACTGGAAAAGCCGAAAGCACCTACAAATATGCACGAATTTAAGAAATTGTAGCCTTTTTGTCTACCTGCATGATCGTCGTCAACAATCAGTACTGTGGCTGTAGAAGCACTTCCCAATCGAGCAGGGACCGGTGAAAAATGAACTTTGTTATGAGCACGAACTTGAGACAAGCGAATTAGAAATTGTTCATCTTCCTCATATATGTCGTTGTCAACGATTTCAACTTCAATTTGTTTCCTGCAGAAAGATAGTAAAACATAAAGTCCCTGAAATGAGTCAGCACTCTGTTTCTTCTGGTCCAAAGGTTAATGTTCCTTCAACAGGCACGAAATCAGTGTTCTCCTCAGCTGTATCAGCAACCGTTCTATAAATAGAAGAAATAAAACTGAAAAATGTATGATTGTAACCTATAATGTACAGATACTTGACTGTTAGCATCAGCCGTGCCTCTGTCGCAACGAACTGTCACTTTCAACACTCCAATGTTTTCCAGACACATATAGTGAGCCGGGTCAAACCTTTAAAAAATAAATTACCGAGTGAAAACGTTGGCTAATAGTTTTGTAAATAATTATCAAAAATTCCAGAACTTACTGCACAACAACCATATTTTGTTTTTCAATTAATGGCTCCACTAGTTCATTGGCTTTCTGTTGGAGCTTTTTCTTTGTTATATCCCCTGAGCCCACCAACTTCCTTGTTGCCTCCAAACAGGCAATTGAATATTAATTCGAAAATATGAATTACCTGAACTCTATAGAAAGCTCGACTCTTTTTCTTTTCGCTCACAACTTTTTGGGTGGCAAGCTTCTCTAGTTCTTCAACTGGAGCATCTGGATGCTGATTTCTACAGATAGCATTTGATGATTTTTGATTTCTACTAAACGCATACCGGAGTTCTCTGAATATCTCTAAATACTTTCTACGATGCTCTTCGAATGCTATGGCATCAGGATCTCCTTGTAAATTGAGTAAAGAAACTCTATAATATACAACATTAAGTTTGTTTTCTTTCCGTATTTCATCATGCCTGTGCTCTTCCTTTGCTCCATTCTCCAATGAAGCGACTCCATCCCTTTTTTGTGTTTGGGAAGATCGCCGTGTTGAACGACGGCCCAAAAAGCTTCTCAATGGGCCTGTGAAGAATCTAGAATCATGAAAATGTTAATCTTCTTATGTTTTTGATCAAAACCTTTGTCCATAATTTCCTGTGTATTGATCAGCGGCATAAGCCGACAAAACTGTCAGAGGGAAGAATAAGAAAGTCAGTAATCCTTCCCAGACCTTGGAGAGAAATAATTGAAAAAAGAAAAAAAAAACTAATTACCTCAACTTGATTTGGAGAAAACACGGACAGAATGAGATATAGCCAAACATAGGCAAAAATTGACCAGGAGAATGTCACCCAGAATACTTGATTGTTCTGAACTCGTCTTCCTTCTCCAGATGGTATTGACTATTATAAATTATATGATTATACTCAGTTTCTGTCACAATGCCTTACAGCTATACACACAGCTATGATTACAAACAAGTTAAATGCGGCGGAACCGACAATTGTGCTTGGACCGAGGTCTCCTTAAAATCCGAAAGTGATCATTAGATTGTTTCTTTGGCACGAAAAAACCTGCTTGAAAATCGTTTCCGAAAATTTCAATGACAGACAGCAATATTTCGGGAGCTGAAGAGCCTGTAATCAATATGAATAAGATGAACTGAAGAAGATTATAGCTTAACCTAAAGCCATGAGTGTCAAATTACTGACTGTCTCGTTCCAAACTCGGATGAGAATTGTATATGGTTCTCCAGTAATTTTTTTCATTTTCACTTCTCTTTCCTGTGAAGTGATTACCTCGATGGCGGCCATGAAGCTGAAAGTTAATCGAGTTTGAGAAATTCACTCAGAATTTCATGTTACATACCGATCGGCTACAATCGAAACTCCGAAAAACATATAAACAAGAGCAATTAAGTAGATAATTGCTCGGAAAACTACTTTACATTCTGACAAATTTGTCTAAAATACACGTGAATGAGTTATGAATAAATTAAATTTCATACCGACGGCTGCCAAACAGGTAGAATTACTCCAGGAGCACATGGTTTACTAGCACTGCACTTACCCTCCTCAGAATCTGCAATCTCAATTTCTTGAGCTTGTATCAACAGAAAGAGGAGAAGGGTGCAGAAAATAGTCTTTGTCCACATGTTTTTTTATATTTGGAGCATTTCAAATGAACACCTAACTGATGACCTGCAAAATAAGATTTGAAAATGAATGAAAATGAAGTAGTAGGATACGAGAGGCTAACATACACACATATACAACACAACAACCAGATCTCAATGAATCATACAGCTACGAAAAGAAGATTATCAAAGATATTTTTTTTTAGAAAGAAGTAAGAAGGACTTCGTGCAACGGCTTCTCTCACACATATTATGCTCATATAGTTATATAATATGCTTTTCATAACGAAAACGTATTTTTATCTTGACAACGACAAGGGGGTTACTTCGAAGGAAAGGCTAAAAAAAAGCAGAAGGCAAGAGAGACTGCCATTATAAGATGCAAACGACAGGCTGAGAAAAAAACGGATAGTGGAGAGAATGAGCCATAATGTATAAAGGGAATGAGTTTTTGAAATGAACGAAAAAATGAGAGGACGCGAATGAGGAAAGAGAAAACGAGTGAAAGAGTTGAAAATGGAAATTTCTTGGAGAGAATTGAAATGAGGCTCGCTTCAACCAGTATTTGGCAAAAGCACAATAAGACCTGCGCCATTGAATAAAGGTTTGAGATTCCAACTGAGTTCTGTATTCCTTTCTCTTTTCCTCGTTTTATTGGAAATGATGCTTCATTGCAACGCTGGCCCCCTAGAGTTTCAATGTTTGTCACAAAAAATAAAAACACAAAAAATTTTGGACGAAAAGTTTTAAAGATGGAAATAAGCTTGACAAAGTGGGAAGAGATTCGTTTCATAGATAAACCAAAGACTAGTTTGAGCCCAATGCTCAGATATTTCAAGTATAAGAATAGTTTCTTTGAAAAGAATTGCAGGACAATTTCTATTTGGAAGTAAAGTCGGTTTACAAACGAAGAAAGATGAGTGGTAGAGGAGGGGGGGGGTGTGTATGTAGAAGAAGCAAAGTAAAAGCGAAAGGAAGGTTTGTACGAGAAGTTAACTATGAATTTCCATTTACATGGTATCCATAGACTGAAACTGAAAAGCATACGTTGATGAAACATTCTCATCTAATAAGACATAAACTATAAACGAAATTATTCAGAAGACAAAGACGATGATTAGAAACAGAAAAGAGAATATCGTAATGGCAAATTAGGAAATATGGCCAAATGGAACTAATTAGAACAAGAAGCCTTATAAGGAGTGGAAGACAGGTGGTGTATCTTATAATCTTATGCTTGGCAAAAGCTTCGAATTCAATGACAAACTCTCCTCTCTGGTGTTTTATCAAATAATAACATTTCAATTGACATTTCATTACGAATCATCAACGATGAATTGCCCTAAACGGATTTAATTCATTTATGCTAATTGGATTAACAGCGAAGTTTGAACAAAGTGCGCACGTAGGATGGAAGCTTTCAAATTTTCTTTTTTTCTCTTTTTTTTCGGGAATTTCTTATTGAAATGAACTATATTAAGAAGAGAGTTTATCATTTCCTTTCTCCTAATTGTTATCCCGATTACACAAATTTGATGTCATAAGAACGAAAAGAATACGATCGAATCGAATTTCAAACTATCTTCTCTTTAAATGAATACTTATTTGGCCTAGCTGAACTTTGAATAATAAAAAACTTGTGCAGCCGTATTGTTTTGGGTAAAGATAGAGAGAGAGAGAAATATCGAAAGAGAGAAAAACACAGAGAGAGAGAAAGAGAGATGAGAGAGTTGAAGGAGAAGAAGGAAGAGAAAGAGGGTTTTTGAGCTTGCAACCGTTCCCTTCTTTCAATCAAATAAAAATGATTTCTATAGTCACGTGAGAATGGCGTGAACTATTCAAATGACAGAACTAAAAAAAACGGTTGAGGAGAGAGTAAAAAAGGATTAATAATGAGTTTTGGTGATTGGGAAATAAGAGGGTGGTTGGAGGAAGAAAAAATTGAAGAAAGTCAGAAACAGAGGAAAGAGGGTCGAATAGAGTCAAATAGAAAATATGTTAAAGTGCTAGAAAACGTCTAGATAAGGCAAGTGGGCAATTAGGTTGTTGGTTCTGGTTGCTTGAATGAAGTATTAGTGAGAAAGAAAAGAAATGAAGGAAGTTCGAAACTAGGCTCAAGAGATGTTTGTTCCCTTGAGTTCAAACTGTATTCAGAAAGAGAAACATGCGTAAGAATGTCTTTTAAAGGATCCATAAACGTACGTCATACTGTTTGACGTAATCAGTACAGTTATGAAGCTTATCATCATCGAAAAAAAGGCTTTCAACGGTCACGAAATGAACAGAAATAATCGGTTTGAAACTGATTTATTATGAAAGTGATAGTACGCAGGGAAACATTTCCGAAAGTGAATAAAAAAAATGTAAAAGATAATGGTTGTAGATGGCAGCAGTAGAGAAGGAGAAGGAGAAGATGTGGACGAAGACGGTGGCGAGGAAATGAAAAGGCGTTTATCTTTGAATTCAAAGGACGTTTATCTTCGAACTTGAAGAAACATATTAAGGAAGTAAGATTAGAAGCAGAGTAGCAAGAGATTAAAAATGAAATTTTCAGTTGAAAATGTAAGAAATATAATATGGAAATCCTTTTCCTCTTCTCCTTTTCTCCCACTATCCTCTCATCTCTATGTTAGTCTCTGACTGCCTCCTTTCTCTCCTCCTCATCCCGAATTCATTATCCGCTTTCTTACACTTTACAGTTTTTAACACAAAAGCTATAACTTCAAATTAGATTCATATTCTGAATGAGTGGCATCCAAGCTTAATAAGGATGAAAAATAATTTTTTTTTCTTTTGATTTCCGTTTAGGAAAATAGAAAATGAAGACCTGATTGCGGTACCGAATGGAAGGAATGATTTTTCGATCATTTCTTCATTTCTAATGATGTTACTGGCTTCCTCCCCAAACCCTCTTCTCTCTTGAAAATTGTATGTCTCATTTTCTTTTTCTCTCTAAAATTTCTGATGTGATGTTCGAAGCCAGAAAAAGCAAAGTTGTTGACAAAAAAAGGGAGGAGACCTAGGTTGGATGGGAGGGGAAGAAGAAGGCATATGCGAGAGAAGGTCAAAAAGGTAATGGAAGTAATCAATTTGACAGTGACCTTCCTTTCTTAGAGCGTAATGCTTTTCTGAATACCATAAAAGCTTTCAAATATTTTGAAAAAAAAAGTTTGGCAACTAGAAGAGATCTTGGACAATGGTAAAGTTGCAATAAGTTTCATTCAAGTTTTTTTAAACAATTATTAAGAGATAATAAATTATGAGAAAAGATAAGAGAGCGAGAGAAAGTAATAAGATGATGATGAAGGAGGAGGAGAGTAGAACAATGATATCATGATGATCTATCTCCATCGAACAGTTCTAAATATGGAATACTGTATTTGGAGACTCATTCACAAATAATATTATAATAACGGAAGACAAAGTTGTTTTATTTCTCAATGAAGACTATGTTTGTTTAAAAGTTTATTTGCTGATGAAAACATTGACATCCAGATGGAAAACGACTTTGAAGCATATGGAATTTTATAAATTTTCAACAGAAAATAAAAAATGAGTTGAATGTGTTCACCAAACGAGGTGTCTGGCATAGCTTTTGGCTGACTTTTCTTTCTCTCTCTCTTTCTCTTCCTCTCTTTGTTTTTCTCTTTTTCTCTCTCTCTTACTATATATTACTTCTTGAATAGAGCGGGAATAGAGTTCTCTACTACAGAGTGATACAAAGAGATTGAGAGGGAAATGATGAAAAAAGTTGATAATGGAAGGTAAACGGTACCTCCTCCTTTTCTGGTTCTCATGTGTTGCCACTTCGTTTGTACCTCTCAATGCTCTTCAAGTCAAAAAAGATGTCAAAAATCATGTAACGTCCAATGACGTCAGAACATTGATTATTCATATTATCTGTGGTGAAAGAGAAGAATAAAAATATGAAAAAAAAAGATCAAAATTGGTCATGAAACTTGAAATATGTTCTCATATCTGTGCATTCGAGCATTAAATCCATGCCGAACGATGTCGTCCTTTCCTTCGCTGGACAGGATTTTCAATGACTTCTTTCTCTGTACTGTTGTGTACAAGAACATCATGACGATGAGAAATCAGAAAAAAAAAGAATTGCTAAGATGAAAATAAGCACGACCGACTGAGTTCCAGCGACTTTAATTTCAAAAATTTTTTTTTTTCGTTTAACAGGATGTGAAATGCCATTTGTGACAAAAATTCTTCAGGTTTTACATGTTCAGATGTCTCTCTTATGTGTTTTTCTCTTCAACGACAATCACAGATCATCGAATTAGTGGATAACAGCATGGTTGATTGTACAGTGTTGTCGAAAGAACTGTCTGACTACGGAGATGACAACGGACGACGTCGACGATGCCGATGACAATGTGATGGCGTCGTACGGCCAACCGAAATCATGCACGATTAGACAGAATAGTTCATGACGTAACGAAGAGACAAGCCAGTTATCAGCTGTTGATTTACCAGATTTTGATTGCAAAAAAAAATTAGAAAAAATCATATAAAATCTTCGTCATCTGCATGTGGTTGATGACAAAAACGAATTGACAATACGCACAAGATAACAAGTAAAAAACATTTTGAAAACATTATAACTGACGATTTAAGGTCATCCTAGCCTATCTTTCTCATTTGATTTATGGGTTTTGAATAGAAAAAGCCAGATAGATATGTGACACAATGTGAAGATGGTTGGTATTTCGTTTTACTCTGTAGTTTGGTCTCATCGTAGGAGGCGTTGAGAAAGAGGTCGAAGAAAGAAGAGAAAAGAGAAAAAAAGAAAGAAAAAGAAGGAAATGATATCATAATTTATATGAAAAATACAATTATTCACCCGTATTGTATATATATAACCGTTTAGCATTGATTCTCGAACGTTGATGAGGCTGAAGTTCTTCTTCTTCTTCGTCATAATTCAATAAATCTTCATGACGATCTGTTGTTTGGACGGATGCAACCTTCAACATTTTGTCTTTTTTCCAACAAACGAAAAGTTTTTGTTAGCTATTTACCCGAATTTGTGTTTCTGTTTGTGTCCACTTATTCCTCATACGGGCACGTTCTTCAAATTTGTCATTCAGCATTTGTCTTCTATAACGATCAGTGTTATATTAGTTGTACATTAAGAGAGAAGAATGACGTACTGTTGTTTGGGCATGAAACGCATTAGAAGCTTTTCCGTTCCTCCCATATTCTGACTGAATTGCTTGACAGCATCACCATCTGAAAGTTAATTTACACGCAATCTGTGTGATTTCAACGTGAATAATCTGATTTTTGAGAGCGAACACATCATTTGTTTATATTCACAAGAATAAAAACCAAACAAAGCAAACCTGCTGCTGTTGTTCTTGAAGGTTGTCGATCGACATCTCCCTCTTCCGTAGATGTGGCTATCTTCTTCGTATCTTCAGCTTAAATGATGCTTATGACTATAAAAAACCTAAACTATTGCCAACAAACCACTTATGCTTAAATTATTTTTGAAATCCTGTTCAATGGATTTGACAACCTTCATGAAGAGTACTTCAAGTTGCATTTGTACAACATTGATGAACATAGATACAATCGACAACCCTCCAAGAATTAGAATAAAGTTGATAACAGCAACCTTATGTGAGGGTGTTATATCACCAAAGCCTATAATGAGGAAACCATCATCATATCTCAAGCTACAAGCATTCAACTTGCCTACGGTCGTAAGAGAAATTAAAAAGAAATAAACAGCCTTTCCAAATGTCCAGTTTTCAAAATAAGCAAAAACTAATGAACATAATCCAACCCAGAAAAATAATAAAAAGAAAACAATAGTAAATGGCATGGGTTCAGGTTCCTCAGGATTTGTTGGAGGCTTTTTCTCTTCATTTTGTTCAACGAAGCACAAACTCTGAAATAGATAATGAATTAAAACAGTTGACTAATTAATATTAATCATTGTTAGCAAACAATCAATCATCTGTCACTCTAATTTCCACTTCACATCTTAAAAATCATGTGTAACACAGCTTTTTCAGATGTTAATTTCATTTTTTTTCTCTCAAAAATTATTATCAAAAAAAAAAAATAATAAAGATCAAACATCCTGGACTCAACTTCAGTAAATAAATTGTTTTCAACCGCTTCCTATGTCTTTTCGATAAAAAATGAATTTCACATTAATCATTTGCGACGGTCACGTGAATGCGTATTCAAATCATGTGGCACGTGCCACGAAAACATACAGCATTACCTCTTCTTGAGAAAGTTTTCGTTTCCTCATCACCATGCGAACTCGTATCCATTTTACAACAGCTAACATATAGTTTTTCCAAACGGCTAAATAATAAAATATAAATAAGCATCATTCATATCTTCAAACTCACTGTTAACGATTTGGAACATTAAGGTTCCCCAATCATTGAGTACGGTGATCACTAATGGAATGCCTAAGATGGCGTAAAATACAGTAAATATTCGACCTCCAACTGTTTGAGCTGATATATCCCCATAACCTGAAAATCACAGAAAGTATTATCATATGAAGAAGTAGTGACACCTATAGTAGTGTAGATAGTTCCAGCATAGTACAGACCTCCCCAAATCGTCCATTTCATTTCTTTATTCAATACTGGTTTAGTGTTCATAGCTCGATCATACTGCTCAATAGCCTTTCGTAGATTGGTTTCGGAATAATCACTCAGGTTATAATTCGATACGTATAAATGCTGAAATCGAAGTGTTCGAAAAGGTAAACGTTTTGTCTGTGTTACATGGATCTTCTCTACAAGAACCTTCTTGGCTGCCACACTTTGTTGAAATTTGAATTTATTATCATCGTTTATGGCCTGCATCTCATAAGGACTCTCAAGTGAACAGAATATTACAGCTCCACAATAGGAATACAACAGCAAGAGGATGAAAAGGACTAAGTGTTGCAAGCTATACTTCTCATAGTGAACTACGACCAAGTTCCAGAACATACTGAAAGAAGAGAAAATAGGTGTCAAATAGCTTATTTTCTTTAAAAAAAACTTGTAAGTGAGAAGATGTTTAATGTATAAACAATAAACTTACTCATTATGTTTCAAGCCTCTGTTAGTTCCAAGCATTTTGTGTTAAGAAAGAATATTCGGTGATTCATTAAAGATTCCTCGTAACTATAGGAATATGAGAACTCAGAAAGTTGTTGTCAAGCTTCTCAGCTTAGGTTTATATATGATGTAAGAGAAAAGCTATTAAGAAGTTCAAAAAGAAATTTCTTGAGAGATATTAGAAGTAGAGGAGGTGGATATTAAGAGAACAAGAGATGTGTTAGTGGGAACAAACTGAAAGCTTTGAATTACAAATCTTCGAAAGTGATCTTGTGTGTCGTATCAGAAGATAAGGACAAACAGATTGAGTTACCATGATTAAGAATATTACATAAGTTATAAGTTAATGAAATGTTTAAGAACGTTCAGCGTTCGTCCGAACATCTGTTCATTCATCATAGCCGATCACATCGAAGATGCTTTATTAAGTAATTAACAAAAACTAATGGGATTTTTCATTTCACTTAACAAATGCTATTGCTTAACTTGAAATTACTTTGGAAATGAGCAATTGAAAAGTGGGAATGAAGCAAAAGCTCAATGATAGCTAGTCAAATCGGAGGTGTAAAGTTTAAAAAGAAAAATTGAACAGCGGGTCCGAGACACAAGCCTTAATCCGTTTTTCTTTATAAGAAGTTTAAAAAAAATAATTGACGAACCACTGAGAAAGATGAAAAAAAAAATTTTTCACAAACGATTGCGAGATACTTGAGAGCCGATTAATTGAGGGATTTGATTGTCAGAACTGTCAGAACAAACGAAAACAAGATATTAATCTTCTTTTTTTTTTCATCCTTCTCCTTCTTCTCAAAGGTTAGCAGAACTATTTTTTAGTTATCCCCTCCTTTTCCTCAATATTGTATTTCAGTCAGGTACTTGTTGTCACATAGCACCACCGCTTACACAATTCACGAAAATGAAAATATAGATGATTAGATATACACGTAGCCTTCCGTCTTTCATCATCATCATGTTCATTTATGTTTTAAACCTACATTCTTATCTATGCAGCGTTCAAGCCGTTCATTGATATGTAGCGTTCGTCTGATTAATGTTTTATTAAAATTAAAATGAATGTCATGGAAACGGAAAAAAGCTTACACACAACTCAAAAAGTTACATTTTGATATTACAAGTGACATGCGAAACTTGTTGAATTATAGTATCATCTTGTGCTGTATTGCATATTGTCTTGGTGTTCGTTGTCATTACAAACATACACATAGTTATCGACCGCTGAATGTATCTTCGAACACGTGTGAAGGAGATGTGTGTATGGTAATGCGACTGAACAGTAAATTCTTCGATGATTACCAGGTTGTTCAAATCTCATATTGTAAATCTTCATTTTAATATTATTTAGTTCTGTTATAAAGGATTACATACATATAATAAACCAGATTTTTGCGAAGAAAGAGTTGATGGAGCCATTATGTGTTTGTGTCGGTAAGCCAGAAACTCAAATACTTCTAAGCTTTCATATATTCAGAACTGATTACTGTAACACTATTGATCTACCAGATAGATCAATTCCAACAACTATACAGTTAGTCACTTGTAGTTATTATGGATTGAGTATGAATTCTATCAATGTCGCTGCAATGGATACTTGCTATTTCGAAGAGTCATTGTCATTTGTAAGCTGAATAATCAAACTTTTCTTATCATATCTTCAGGGTGAAAAGATTCAAAGGACAGGGGACAATTACGGAGTATTTTCGGTTGATCAAATTATGAGAAACAGGTTTACAACATATCTTTACAGTTAGGATTGACCAACAATGAATTATCTCTTCCTCGAACTCCATACCCAAACTCTTGTTTGAACTTTACTAGTGACAATGAAAACTACTCGTATAGCTGTAGTTGTAGATGGGTGAGCCGTGCGTTCTTTTGTTTTTCAAAAACTTTGGTTCTCAGAGTTTATGTAACGAGAAACAACCATACACAGTAGAACGAGGAAAAGTTAAATGTTATCATTCTAAAAGTAATTTTTCGAAAAGTCAGTTTCGAACAACTTTCATAATATGAAATGATATCCTACAGATGTGTATTGTACTGGTCAATACTGTGTACATACTCCACCTTATGGAATTACTCCTGCTCAGTATGGCTGCATAAGTGCATATGAAGAGGGGCCATACAAACTTGAAGTTTGTATTGCAAAAAAACATTTCTATAACTCAGTTTTCAGCTCGGTTTAATACAAGCTTGGGAACATCAACTATACTTGTGTAACTCTGATTTTTGTAATGACAATGTTAACAATATCCTGGCATCAGTGAACGCATTCAAGAGTTCATCCGCATACGAGGTGATTAGGTTCCAAATTTCTAAACATAATATTCTTAGGCTTACCGGCTATCTCTTCAACAAACTCCAACCATTCGAGCCCCAGAAAGTCGAGCAGCCCACCTTCCTTTCGCCATCATATATTTAGTTATGTGTTTACATATGGTTTATGGAAACTAAAATGTTTGAATGTTGGACAGACACAAGAAAGTAATGTAACAATATAAATTACAAATCAAGAGAAATATTCTCCTTATTAACCATTTGTTTGTTGGCGTTCCTCTTCCGTAGTCAGCTTTCTCTTGGCCAGAATTCTCTCTTTGACTTTCCCTTATCCATATCATTCTTTCAACTTCAATGATCTTATCGTTTGAGCATAGAAAGTTTTCATTCCAAACAACAATCTCATTTCTTGTTAATCCTCAGAAGCTTCTATATTGTCTAGCATACTCGACCCATTGCATAAGAGTCACTGTGTGACAGAGCAACTTGCGTATGTGTTGCCCAAAACAGAAGCTCGAAATTAAAAAGTTAATCATTTTATTTTAATTATGAAAAAAAAGAAAAATGTACAGAGTTCTATGTTACAAATGCTTAGTGTTGTCTGTGATGGCGCCTGAAGTTAAAACGGTGGCGGTCACGGGGATGGATAGGATGGATGGGATGGTGGAAGAACTGTGGACGACCCTCAGTAGCGTGTTCATGCTTAATCTTTGGTGATTCTGAGCTAACTTCTACAGATTCTACTGGAGTTTCACTGCTAGCAACGACTTGTTCGGGTGTTTCAGTTCTGAAATGGTGGAATAAGCGTAGAACAATAAACAATCTCACGTTTCTTCAGAATGGACGAGATCGTCGCTGATTATCTCAGCAATTTCCTTCTCAATCTCTTCAGCAGCATCA